TGTCCCGAGCCTGTGCTCCGCTCTGGGACTGGCGGCCGGGCGGCGCCGCACCGGGAACCTGGGGTCCCCGGAACTTTGTGCTTAAGTTGCCCCCTTCCTCGGGCCCCATGTCCGGGTGCACACCGACTTTGCAGAGCCGCCGGCGGGCCAGTCGGTGAATCGGAGCCTGGCTTTGCGACCGCCGTGGCCGAGGGTCCGTCCCGGGGTTTCCCGGCTGGCCAGCCACAGCCCAGTTTCCGGCATCAGACTGTTCGCTTCCCTTGACATTTGTCACCTTTATGTCCCTCCACCCCCCTCCCCCAGGCTGGACCTCCGGTGACTGGAGACATCCCAGACCGTATGGAAATACCAGAGAGAAAAGTGCCCCCAGAGCTCAGTAATTGCGGGTTTGTGATGACTGATCATTTTCTCTAATGCAATGGCATGGACCAAAATGAGAAATAAATTTCTGTCGCTGGTTGCAAAGTAAGGAAGAAGCAGGCGACAGATTAAGGACTGCCAAGGGAAAGATGGACCCCTGTGAAGATCTAGAAATGTCCAGCGGTAAATCCCACGGCTCCAGGGGGAATGAACCTAACGAACTAGGAGGACCAGGGGCCAGCAGTGCTGAGACTCTGGGGAAGGACCCTGAGGAGTTGTGGCGCCAGAAATACCAGCCTCAGAGCAAATACCTGGAGAGCGGCAACAGGTGATGTTTACAACCTGGTTTGTTTGGTGTTCTTAGCTGGAGTAGTACAAGGGAGGGTTTCAGTCTTTTTGATTGTCAGCCTATGGGGAAAGTTTAGCGGGAGAGTCGGGGAACTTCAAAAGAAATGCTCTGGGAAACTGACAAAATTACCAGACAGTTCCAGGAGGAGATGCAAGTGGTTAAGGAGTTCAGCTGAGTCGGGACTGAGGTGGGAATGAGGGTGGATGGACCATGTTAGAGGTTCTCTCCGTTTCTTTGGCTGGGATTTCCCCTCCTGTAAAAAAGGGATATAAACCTGTGAACTAAATGAGTTGATTAAGTGTAAATTAAGCACTAAGAAAGTTGCTTTGCACATAATACACTGTTCAATAGAAGTTGGCTGTTATTGTAATTGAAAGTGCAGTTATTTTTTAATCTTAACAGTGAACAGCAAGATCGAAACAGAGTTTCTGAAGAACTTATAACGGTTGTCCAAGAAATGAAAAAATACTTCCCGTCAGAGAAACACAACAAACCAAGCACTCTCGATGCCCTCAACTATGCCCTTCGCTGTGTACACAGTGTGCAAGGTAAACGAGCTGGAGGGTAAACAGTCGTGCAAGCACACTGTTGCTCAGAAACGTCTGCCTGGCCAGACGAGTTGTCGGTGTGGTTTTAGGCACAGAGGTGTTTTGAGATTTTTATGGTGTTTAACGTAAGATAAGCAAATGTATGTTGATTCTGTTAGTGTCCTAGTTTTTCAAATTAGGAACACCAGGAGAACCTTATTTGTATAATCGTTTAGTAACTGCAATATTTTGCTAATTGGTTGCAGGAGAGTAGAATTTAGCATGAGCACATTTTGAAGACTAACTAAAGGAGCATTGTCTTCTGTGGATATTAGGAAAACATACATTTGACTAAGTATAATTTACTTTTCCCTGTCACATACATACTTTTAAAATGCAGTTGTGATGTAGCAGGAATTTATCAAATTAAAAATGACCAGTCATAAACACTTTTTCCTTTTTGTCGCTGACTTTTCTTCTCAAGGGACTTCATAAAGTGCGTTTTCTAGCACAGACCTCTGTGGCTTCATAAATGATAACGTGGTTCCTGAAAACTGGAGTCATGTTTCTGCTGTAACAGTGTCCTGTGTGTATCTGGAATTTTTGGTTTCAGTACCTTGTTTTAGTATTTTACATGTATCTTGTACCTTAGGAATCGTTAAAATTCAAAATCTTAAGTTTGCACCAACTCTCGGTATTTTGGGTGACGGAAGAATATGATCTGGTTTCAAGAAAAACACACTGAGTTGTCCTCATCCTAAGGAGATAAACCAGCTTTAATAGGGATAAAAATGACTTCCTAAAGAAATTGTTTTCACTGGACTACCCATTTATTTTCCTGTGTTTCTTAGCAAACAGTGAGTTTTTCCAGATTCTCAGTCAAAATGGAGCACCTCCAGTAGATGTGACCGCGTACAGTCTGGAGGAGCTGGCCACTATTGCTTCAGAGCACACTTCCAAAAACACAGTAAGGATCCACGAATTTTGCCGTCTCTACCTGGGTGATTTTTCCTAACAACATTATCTAGATGGAGATTTTTAAAATAATAACTCAGAGTTTCAGTAACCACAGATTGAGGTAAACAATAGAAGAAAACTGCTGAAGAGGCATTGTGTCGTCTCTCCTGCCCTTGCCAGACAAAACGTCTGAACACAGGAAGCAGCGCATCAGCAGCAGTGCGCTTTGCTTCGGTTGTGAGATGCCTCTGTCTCCTTAGCTCCCCTGAGTTCTCTCACAGAGAAAAAGATAACACTGCAGAGTAATGCCCTGCATCTTATTCTAATCTCCGAATTGTTTATTTCTATTTATATCATTCTTAGTTCCAATTTCTACTACTTCAAGTTGTAACAGCTGGATTTTATAGAACAGGTGAGTTGAGATGCTGTCAGTTTTTATAAAATTTTGGAAGAGACATTTAGTATATCTTTTCTGAATCTCTTCATGTTGGCAGAGTAGTTAAGCCTTGTGTTTTGTAGATGTGATGGAGATTACTTAATTTCATGTTTAGATCTCAACATAATTACAACTTAAAAGATAGTATAGTATTGGACACGTGAGCCATCCCCAGTATTACATTAGTCCTTGTATTACTAACTGGTGTGCTCATAGCGCTGGCATAGGTGCTACAGAGATGTAAAGAAGAAAAAGTTTAAGAAAACATTTTCCTCTGCAGCTCCTCCAAATAAAGCTAGAGAAAAAAACATATGCCAGTGCTAGCAGATAGAAACAGTGGTTGATTGTAACTAAGTTATACTTATGTCTAAGGGAACAGATTAGAGAGATGATTCTTATGTAATGAGGTCTAACAGTGTCTCAGAGCCTAGAATGTGCGTTGGCGAAGAGAAGACAGTCCCTCCAGGCGTGAGGCAGAGTTTGCAAAGGAGGAGGAATCAGAAGTGTGTGTATTTATACATAGACGGTGCATGTGTGTTTGGTCAGTGTAGAAGGAGCTGGCATATTTTGGGGCATAGAAATCAAACTTCAGAAGGTAAAATGCAGTTTTTGCAGTGATAATTAAGAAGTACCCTGGAGAGTTTTGTTGCCTTTGCAGGATGTGTGTGTGTTTAAAGCTGTTGATCATGGTAGGTGTCTAGAAGAAATATACATTTCAGGGCACGTTGCTAGTAAGTGTCTCAATATTTGCATTTATTTTAAATGTTTTTCATAGGATACCTTTGTGGCAGTTTTTTCATTTCTGTCCGGAAGGTTAGTGCACATTTCTGAACAGGCTACTTCGATCTTGAATTGTAAGAAAGACTTCCTGGAGTCCTCTCACTTTGTGGAGCTGCTCGCCCCTCAGGATGTCAGGGTGTTCTGCACACACACTGCCCACGCTCAGCTTCCCTTCTGGGACAACTGGATCCGAAGAGGTAACAGGACCGCTATTCAGATGTTGATCTTGCCTCCTAAAGATCAGTTTCAACATTATTTAGAACATACAAACTATATGATTTTTCTTATTTCTTCATTTTTTAAAAAGAAGACTATGATACAAATAGTATTTTTAATGCTTCTAATATAAAGATCCAATAGATTTGCTTTTATTTATTCAAGTTAATTTATATATCATAAATATGGTTTGATTACTAGTGTACTGTACAGCAGGCTAATATCTAAAGGCTCTGTGTCCTTTAAGTTAATAAAATTAAATGTATTTTCTCTTATAGTGACTTCATTATTTCTTTGCTTTGCTTTGCTTTGGAGATAAACTTTTGATGATTAGCTTTCTTTTCTTGTTTTCTCGTCCCTAAAAGTTCACAAATCCAATTACTTTTTCTTCTGAAATGCTTATTTTCCTGAACTGGGGATGCCTGCTCACAGTTTTCTTTGTGACAGTCATTCCTGTGTGATCTTTAAATAATTCATCATTTCTTTTTTAAGTCACTCTTTATTATTTCATGTTCTTTATGAAGTGTCTCAGAGTTTAGTGTGGTTCATCCTTCTTTTCGATTTCAACCCCTTTTCTCTAATTTTAAAAAAATTTTAATTCATTTTTGTTGTGAAAAAGATCACCAAAATCGACATCTGACCCGTTTTAAGCGTGTAGCTCAACAGTGTCGGTATGTTCACGGTGCTGTGAAACGTCTCCAGAGCTTTTCCATTTTGCAGATTTAAAGCTCTGTACCCATTCTCCTGAGTTTTTACTCCACGACTTGCTCCAGTGAGAATGGTCTTGCGTGCTGTTTTTCCAGTTAGAGACTTTGGCGCCATCATTTCTGCATGTTTCAGATGAGCTTTCGCAAGCTTTCCTATTACCCATTCTTCTAGCTCCCTCTCTTCTGCTCGCATCGATTTCGTCCCCTTCCTCTTTCCTAAACACGTATTTGAACCTTTCGTTGTCCATATTTGGTTTTCCTCATTTGTGAATCATTCATTCCGTAAACATTTACTCAGCCATCACCGTGGGCCAGGAGCTGTTGTCGATGCTGAGCTACAGCGGTGAGCGTGGCGGCCGCGCTGCTGCTTGCCGGCTCGCTCACGTTTCCGCGGTACTTTCCTCCAGCTTGCCTGTAGAGTCTGTCTTCTCTTTCCGACCTTTTTCTCTTTGCTAATTGCTTATTGCTGTGTATTTCCCCTCTGCGTAAAAATGTAACGTGCCCTGGAACTGTTGTCTTTTAAACCTAAAAACTTACTTACTCCATAAAGACGTGATGTCCATCTAGCTTACTCCTCACGTCGTGCTTTTGCCTTATGAACTCAGGACATCTAAGTGTCCTGAGTGTGGCCGCCGAGCTGCCTGCCTTTCCCAGGCTGCGCCCGTGCCCCTCTTGGCCCTCCCTTTGAGGTCACAGGAAGCATGCTGCCACTTCTCCTTGGTTGTACAGACCTCTCAGTAGGGTCTGAGCACACACTTCCCGAAACATTAACTCACACGTTCCAGCCGGCGTGGAGAGGATGACGGGCTCACACCTGCCGTCCGGCTGTGTGTCACGAGACGGCTAGTGAGGGCAGTTGAATCCGCGTGCCTGCCGACACGTGTGAGTAGCGTGAGCGAGTTTGCCTTACATAGAGCAGCACTGTTTTCTACAAGCAAAGCATTCCACGCTAGGAATCTGAAGGACTGAGTTTTAAGTTGAGTTCTGTCCCTCGTGAACCTTGGAGGCCACCTGGCCTCTCAGTTACTCTCACTGAGAATAATGCGTCCGGCCAGCCTGCCAGTACGGGGCTCCTGTGAGAGGTGAGCAAGCTTGTGGCTGGGAAAGCGCTTTCGAGATTCCGAGCAGTCTGCAGCATGGAGCGTCTTAATCGCTAGTCTTTATTGAAAGGGCCCTGTTTGCCAGGGACTCCTCTTAATGCTTTAGTGGATTAACTAATTTAACCTTTACAAAAACTTTGTGGGGCGTAGTTTGAGTTAAAGGCCAAGGTGGGGTTACTGTGCTGACACTTGCTCGGAGAGGGCCCCTCAGCCCACAGCATGGGGCTGACGCCATGGAAGGGATGGGAGGGGATGGACTGGGGAGGAGCAGCGTGGCCAGGCAGCCAAAGGGACGCCCAGGCCCCGGCCGCATGCTGGAGGAGCCCTGCGCCTCCACGGAGTGGCCCGGCCTCAGCACCCCTCCGCACAGCGTGGCCGGGAGCAGCCGCAGGGCATTATGTCCCCTGACACCAGGAGCAGGGCCCTTTCTCAGCCACCGTAGTTTCTGAGGCACAGAGCTAAGTGACTCACCCAAGGTCACGCTGCCGGTAAGCGTGCAGCCGGATTCCACCTTGGCAGGGTGAGTGAGCCCTGGGCTCCTGCTCTCCAGCACCGCCCTCCTGGCTGCGAGGCTGCTGGGGCAGTTACTCTCAAACGGTTGGAACCAGACGAAAGCGTGGTTTGAAAGTAGCACCAGAATGTTGTTCCTGTCCGTAAAAATCATCTCAAGAAATTTAAGTGTAGTTTCGAAAACATCCTTCTCTCGCCCTCGTTCCTCCGTGAGTTTATCTAAGCCTTGATCGAGGCAGCTTCTGTGTTAGGAGGGGAGCATGTCTGAGGCTGATAATTCCATACGCCTGCTTGGCCCAGTTCTCTCGTTTCTTTCTCAGATATGCTATGGGAACTGTTTTCTGGTCTCAGAATTCTGGGACTGACTTTCATGGCTTTAGGAATTGTGGTAGTTTGAGCATTGGTCCCTTTACTGTTAAGTTGGAGTATTTTTTTTTTACTCATGTACACTGCCCTTGATCATTCAAAAGCCCATTTTCGGATTCTTCCTGTGATCTTTCCTCATATGTATATTTTTTAACATCTTCTTGGTTTTAAACATTTCCTTGGTTCCTATAACAGGACTTTTCACTCTAGTGAACAAATTCAGGGAGCTTTAGCCAGAAGAAGTACAAATAGCAAACACTTGGGAAAGGTGCAGCCCCGTAATCTGCCCAAAGATAGGCAAATTTAACCATTTCCGAATTACCACCTCACAAATCAACAAAATTAATGCGAAAATCTAAATGGTTGCAAACCATCGGCAGGAGGGGTGTGAGAAAACGTGATTAATGACAGTGAATTGGTACAGTCTTCTGGCGATACATGACGAGTTTTCCACATGACGAGAGTCATAAAATCATATTTAACCTAGGAACACAACTTTGGGGTTTATCCAAGGAAAGAAAAAGAAATGAGGGAAATTTGTATACCATATGCCTATAAGCTGGAAGTTGTCTAAATTCTCAGTTTTTGAGACATGTCCAGACTATGGCGGTGGAGCAGAATGTTACCACCAAGATAATTGTCAAAGGACCGTCACGTTGTTACCTGAAGTGATGAGTTTGGACTGTTGCAGAAGGGACCACAGGAAGTGGTGAGGGAGAGACCCAGGTCAGACACACTCACTGTCACCGCCTTTCCCCAGGGTCACTGTCCCAATAGGAGAGCCCTCGGGAGACACTGGGTGTGACTAGATCTCAGGGTGAGGGGCAAGAGCCCTATTTGAACAGAGAGTATCTCCCTCTTTGGAAAAACTGTTTGTCGTTTGCGTGGCGACCGCCGTTTCTCTGCGGAGCTGCCGTGCCTCTGGGACGGGTGAGTGACAGTGTGTCTTTGTCTCCAGCAGCATCACAGCGCGAATACCCTCCAGAGAAACCCTTCTTCTGCAGAATCCGGTAAGTGCGGGGCCTGTGGGGGCGCAGCGCGCGGCCGGGTCTGCTGGGGGCGCAGAAGACGTGACTGGGTTCTCACCCCAAGAACTTTGCATTCTGACTGAGGGGAGGAGGCAGGACCAGAGGAGAAAAGCGCAGAACGACCGTTTTTACCGGCTGGGGCTGGGGGTGGGGGTCACTTTCAAATGACCCTTGTTTGGGGCTCTTTTGTTTTTATGTGCTTTCTGTTGTTTGGTCATATTTAAAATTAATTTCGAAATTTTGATCACATTTAAAATTTTTGAAATTTTGAGTAACTAAAGAAACAAGATAGGTATGTTTATGAGAATAATTTAGAAGGTGCAAAGATAGTAAACTAGAAGAAAATAGACCAGAATGTTAATAGTAGTTGTTTTCTGGCAGGATTTATTAGTGATTGTTTTTCTTCTAAGTTTACTGGTAGGTTAACGTTACTTTCACAGTAAACGGGGTGGTGTCCATGGGACGTCGGCACAGGAGTCTGCAGTTAGCGTGAGAAGTCCAGGCTAGAGACGGAGACTCGGGTCATCAGCGTGTAAATGGCATTGAGAAACCCAGGGCCGGGTGAGCCTGGAAAATCACTCCCAGAAGCAGGAGGGGAGCCAGAAGCACAAGGACAGATGCTTGTCAGGATCAGGAGAAGGCTCTCCTTTGCCAGTGACCCTGGAAGCAAGGTCAAGCTGAGCGTGGCGAGTGAGAGGAGCTTCTGGAGTTTCAGGAGGGCAGGCAGAGCGAGCTGGGGAGGGGACTGTAGACCCTCCCAGGCAGGTGAGACCCACTTGGCATCAGTAGTCACCACTGGTGGGGGAGAGGAGGGCCACGATCGCTAACACTGGGCTAGTGCGAATACAGTTTTGGACATTTTGATGTTAAAAAGAGAGCCGCGTATCCAAGCAGGAACGCCCCAGGCACCTGGAGCCTGGTGCCCTTCATGTCCTTTATTGGAGGCGCCCTAGAGAGCCTCCGAGGGGACGAGGAAGTGGGCCGTGGCGTCCAGCCCTGCGGTCAGGGACACGGGCTAAGCGGGGTGCGCTAGGGCGCCCTGCGTGGCAAGGTACGAGCTTCAGCTGAAGCCATGAGGCACCATCAGACCTTAGGACAAGGAAGAGACAACAGGGAACTGGCTGTGCGGGCATGATGACAGGGAGCCCAGCTTACTGCCAGGCGGCACTGTGTACCTATGGGAGACAGGTAGTCATGCCTGTTCCCCTCCACAGCAGAAGCCTGGGAACTTAGGGCAAGGTCAGGAAAAAAGTCATAGAGTGAGCAGGCGTTTTTACTCCCCAGTGACCTCAGCCAGTTCTCTGTGAGACCTCTTACTCATTGAATAACAAATGAGTGTAATTGCCTTGGGTACTGAAAATTTTAACCTTTCCCGTTTTTTTCAAAGAAATATATTTCAGTGTTTTAGATTTGGCTTTGTCTCTCTTGGGAATTGCTAATTAAAACCTTCTCCCCCACGGGCCACACATTGGCCTGCTGGAGTGCATCCTGACGGGCACTAACCAGCCATTTGTGGTCTTTGCAGCGGGGGTGAAGACAGAAAGCAGGAGAAGCACTGCTACCCGTTCCGGATTATCCCCTACTCGATTCACGTGCAGAACTCCGCCGGTCGGGAGCCTGAGCCCTGCTGTCTCACCCTTGCAGAGAAGATTCACTCTGGTTACGAAGGTGAGTCGCAGTGTCTGTTGCTGGATCGGAGGTGGCCTGTCAGCACCTCAGACAGAG